AGAGAAACTGCAAGTTTTTAATTGCATTGAGAAAATTTTGACGTATATGCAATATTTTTTGGCAATTGAGAAAAATTTCAAATCAAAAGAAGTAAGAGCATGCCAGTCGGTTCTGCTCGACTGGGGGATATCCTGATCTTTCTACTAAATGCAGCTCAAATAAATTTTTTAATTAACCGAAGTCAAACCCGCAATTGCATTTAACGATGCCATCGCCCCATACTCCACAGCCATATCCAGAATTTCACTTTGATGAAAAATAACTGAAGATACACACAGAGCACGGTTTGCGATACAAACGCAGTAGCATTTATATTTGTGTGTGTATGTGTGAACATGCATCGCAAAATCCTTGCAGTTTGCGCTTGTTGTTCTTGCCAATATAATCACATGTTCTCTTGAATAACTTTTCTGGTAAAAACCTTTCTGGATGAAATTTTCAGCAGTAGATTTTATTGTACATTAGTATATTTCTATATTCTTAAAAAGACAAAAAGACAATAAAATGGTTGCTAATGGGTGGTTAGATCCAAATGATTTATAGATTTGTCGGCGGGGTGAGGGGTGGGGTTGGCAATAGCTTTATAACGAAGGATCCTTGATCTGTATATGCTATCCTTATAGATGGATGCCAATTTTGGTGACAAGCTCTTAAGAGATTTGCTCTTGACCAGGATTTTGATATCCTATCGATCATAAGAAACGTGGACACAAGGAGGAGTTCAATATTGCAAGAGATTGAGAGAGGCGAACATGGACTCTAGATAGACTTATCTATTGATGCCGATCAAAATATATGTTTAGACTTTATGGAATTGGGGATACTTCCTTCTGCCTGCAATAATCATTTGCATAACGCCATCAATGGCTTTAGGGCATAACAAACGGTTTAGCAATTTATGCCGAGTTTCCTTATTCCATTTCTCAACTTTTACTCCATTTATAAGCCTTTCCTCAAGCTTTTTAATTTAAATTACTGAATTCCTTTAGCAAACAAATTTATTGATACACTTTGGCTAAGAAGAAATAGCTCCAAAAATATGTCGTTATCAATTAGTAGAATCTCATATCGAACACGCCTCGGAGCACGAATGGCTGGGCCTGTCGCTGGGGAATTCCAGTTAACCTCAACATGACATCTCTTAAATATATGTGTAAATACCTGCGCATAAAGCTGACACACATGATCAAATTATCGGCCTGACATGTTCAACGGAAAGTATCTGCTAAATGCGTTCGAGCGCTGATCAAATGAACTGCCGCCTGATCTATGAGTTGAATGTGGCCTGTGGCCCAACCACAATTTGCCCCACTTGGCCAGCTGTGTGGTGTGAATGCAATCACTTCCGTTTCACTGGTTCTGCGTTGCCCCTTTGAAGTGATCGTGCGTGCTGATAAAAGCCAAAGGCGACTGCCTCATACGTTTCGTATCTTGTATCTGGTGCGAGTGTATCTTGTATCTGACGGATAGGCATCGCTGTGCCGTTTACCTTGCCTCAGTTTTGTTTGATGTGCTCTGTTGATATTTCTATGGCAATTAATTGATTGTGACAGATTGCTATGAAGTGCTCAAACCCCCCACACGGACCACCTCTCCCCTTCGCCTGACTGACACTTTTGTGTTGTGTCATGCGTTTAAATTGAGAAAAATTCTGCGTTCCGTCAGGGGGCAACACACACACACGCACACACACACATTAACGAGTGCTGATGGCTCGCTGCATCCTCCGGCAGACAATGTCTTCCAGCAAAAAGTAATACATTCTGTTTACATGGCGCAAATCTAGCAGCAATTGCCATGAAAGACGCAAAAAAGCTTCTGCTGCCATTCGATTGTACCGCTGATATGCAAAACAGATGTCGCCGCATGTCGTTGCATGCCGCTGATGTGGCCGATGTTGCCGTTGTTGCCGTTGTTGCCGTTGTTGCTGATGTTTCGCAGTTCGGACTGTCATCAAAACTGTTGTCCCAACATGCATATTAATTTTATTGCTAACAATAACAAATCCATCGACAACTATTGTGAAATGCATTTAATAGTAGCACTAAAACGCAGCAACAATGCAAGCGTCAACAAAAGAATGCATTGTCGATGGCGGTTAGGGAGTAGCCGACTAACGTTCGTACTCTGCAATAACAACTCTTGTGTTATATCAACTCAAAGTTAAATATTGTGAACGACAAAGAGTTCATCATAATTGTTTCTATTGCTCAATTATATTATATAACCGGGCTGCAAACTGCAAATAATTCGTGGGTATATCAACTTACGACTCGAACAACTTTCTTTGATTCGAGCTTTGCACATCTATAAGCCCAGGCTTTTTTTTCATGCCTGATTAATCATCCATTTGTAAAGTTTGTGTCGAACATATTGTTGACAGTATATATATTTTCATAAACAAGTGCGGGCTTAATTTGATTTTTGCTAAGAGATCGTAGCTAACTAATATGTTTTGCTAAATTTTATAGTTAGGCATTAATCTACTTTTGCTAAGTCTTACTTAAATGTTTATTATTTTAAGCGAACGTTTTTGTTTATTTAATTTTCTGATGGTTGGATTTTGATTCATATATCCTTAATCATAAAAATGTTCCTACGAATTGTTAGTTAGGTCTTATAAAATCATTTGGTCTTATAAAATCATTTTGCCATCTACTCATTTTAGTTGAGAACAACAATGTTGCTAATGCGTCTTACTATATACGCATTTTTTTCTTTATTTAATATGAGGCTATATTTATTTTATATTTTCAGTACATTATACATACAAACCTTGTCATGCATTCGACGTGCTCTATAAGAGCACTTACATAGAAATGCAGGGTATGCAATGCAATGAAGCGAGGGAGCAAAGGAGCATCACAGTTGACAACAAGTGGGGGACACCTCGGACTCGCTCTCTGCGCTGTCAACTGACAGCCTGTCAGTGACAGGGCACAGTCTGTAGTCAGTGTCGTCATTGTTGTCGTTGTCACCGTTGTACGTTGTTGTAGTTGTTGTTGTTGTTGTTGTTGTTGCTGCTGTTGCAGTTGTTGTTGGTTTGCCACATGTGCAGCAGCAACAGCAACAGCAGGAGCAGAGAACAAAAACAAACTATAAGATTTTATTGCTTTCTCGCATGTGAAGAACTACGCGAAGTTGATGCTGCAGGTTGCTGCGGGTTGATGCTTCTGCTGCTGCTGCCACTTCCACTGCTTCTTCTGCTGCTGCCAGTGGCAGGAAGCAACAAGCCGATGCCTGGCAAAACCCTAAAAGAAGCTACAACCTGCCCCGCCTCGCCTGCCCAGCATTCAACGGCAACTGCAAACAAGGGCGTTGCACGAGCTGTCAAAATGAGCAATTACTTTGCAAAAATGTTGCACAACTCACGTGTTCTATGCGCTGCAGCCCGTACAGATTTTGCTGCTGCTGCTGCTACTTTCACCCAATCCCGTTGCGTCCCTCTGACAATTGGACGGGCCTCCCCCCGCAGCACTGCACAAGTCGTTTGTCTTGTTGGGCTGCTGTTTGGCAAAGTTTTCGCTGCGCTACCCCCCAAAAACTGGCATTTGGAATATGGAAATTGATAGTGTAACCTACTTATTGTTAAGTTTACGGACTTATGCAGCAAATGCCTGTCTGCAGCTGCCTGGTAATTAATTGTTTGGGCTAATTACCTGACAAACAGCTGCTCAAGTTACAGAGGTTAACATGTTAACATGGGAGCAGTTATGTACGTATTGTTAAATTCGAAGCTTGAAATTTGCTTTTTGTGAGTTTGGTATTGGGAATAGGATCGGTTAGAGGCAAACATTTGGGCTGCACATTTAATCAATTTTGAGCTTAAGCACTTTATGAATTATATTTGAAATGAATGTTGTTTTTTGCAATAGCCTGTATAGTGCCTGATTCAATAAGTAAGCTTTTTCTCAGCATTTTCACGCTTAAACCATGTGCGAATTATTAGCACTCATCCTGTAAATAACTGGCTTATGTTTCTCTTAACACAGCCTGTTCTCAACTGGTTTCTCACGACATTCTATTAGTACAAATGGCTAGCCACACCCATTAGCATTCTGGTTAGACCCTGGGCTTTTTAAACACTGCCACCTGCACTTAATGCCCTGACCACAATTGTAGTAGCCCATTAAAATTTCGACTCAACCTCAACCTAATGCTGGCATTTCGTGCTCACTATTCCTGGACCAATTTTTTCTTCTTCTCTTTTCCGCGCCTCCCATCACACACGTGAAAGATGTTGACGTTTACGACGCAGACGAGACTCCGTCACCGTCGCCGTCGCCGTCTCCGGCTCTGATGATGATGATGCGGACTGCGGCGACGACGATGACGTTTGAGCCAGTCAAAGAGTGTTGCCCAGAGCCCCCGACCCCCAACTTCCAACATACTGGGAATGCTTCTGCGGGTGTTAAATGTGTTGCCACTGGCACTGGCTGCAGTTGCGCCCCTTTTACTCCACTTTTCTTTCTTTCTTCTTAATTTTTTTTTTTTGGTATTTCGGGGCAACTTTTGCCGTTCATTTAATGGCTTCATTTTTGCTTTGACATTTTTCCATGTAGCTCGTAGCTCTCGTTTTTCCTGCTGGCATGTTTGTTGTGCTGTCAGCCTGTCAAGCTTCTCCCTCGCCTTCAGCTCGCTTTTTCCCAAGTTGTTCGTTGCTCTCTTTTTGGCCTTTTAAACTAATTGCATTGCCGTGTGTCTGTTAGTGGATGTGTGCTGGAAGAAAAGTGCAATAACTATTTAAATGATTGCATAGAGCACATGTGACAGCCACAACCGCGGACTCAGCCTCATTCTCTTCAGGTGGAAAACGGGATACCCTTGGCATGTAAGAGATTATACCAAAAGTAGAATTCTCACTGATTGAATTTACTCTTTTGCGCTATGTTTTTCCTTTTGTCTTTTCCTCTCTTTATCTGACTTCTTCTCTATATCTCATTTGCTCTTTCTCTCTTTTCATGATCTTTCTAATCTGTTCTCTTAATTTTTCTTTCAGTGATGTACATATATAAATGTTTGCCTCCCACAGCAATAGGGTTAAATCTTATATTCAAATATTTCGATATTTTCGGGTAAGTACATATTTACATTAAATTGATACAGTTATTCATAAGATTATTCGTTACTATTAACGACAAGAATACAAAATTCGAGATTTTAATTTATTTAAATAATGAAATACCAAATTTACAATGTTATTTTCTCAATATTTGTGATATGACTGCAGAATTATTTTATGGAACTCAAGGAAAGCCTTCATTTTCTGTTAATATTTTATTTGCGTGTTTGAAATTTGAAGAGCATTGATCGTTCGCTTAGACTCTGCTCATTTGTTGTTTTGGTTTCCAAGTGCCAATTAAATGTTGCTTATGTTTGATTATTGCTGTCAATTCTGTTCCAAATTTACGTCGGTTGGCTGTTGTGGATGCTGCGCCAGTCTCTTCCAGCTGTTCGTCGTCAATGGAGCAGGAGCTGGAGGTGGGGGCAAGTAAAAGAATTCTTTTTAATGCTTTTCACTGGAACTGCTGGCACTCTCAATGCGGGCGGGAGTGGGCGTGAAGGCGTTGCAGTGCGTTGACCGACACTACGAAACCGCCCCAAATTGCGGAGGCGTGACCCCCGACGGCTTCCTGTATTGCCTGATAACTGCTGAAATGCTGAAATGCTTGGCAATCAATTAATCATAATTCTGATAGCACAAAACATGTTGCAACACGACCGCAACAGCAACTGAAAGCCGAAAAGGCTAAATCGATAGCACGAAAATCTGAACCCCAATACCGCCCCACGCCCACCTTCTGCACTAAGCAATTGTGAGTGTGAAAAACCATAACATGTGCTTATCACATCGCAAACACAAATACAAAACACTCTACAAACACACGCAAGCACACACACACAGTCATGTGTAGCTGAAAACCATGACAAATTAAAGACAACTCCCCCTGATTCCAATTCCAATTCCAGTGCAAAGCCCGAACCCAATCCAATTCGGAGTCTAAACCATATTTGAAACGTGCCACATTGCGGCATAAACGATAATTACATTTGGCAGAGTCGCCGTTTACCTACACGACGTGGCGACATATATTCGTATTATCCTTATTGATCCTTATGGACGCGGCTTATATGCAATTCGAGGACGTTGATAAATTGTAACAAACTGCAGCTTAAGGAAAAAAAAAAAATCTATAAAACTCAAGAACTGCTCTCGACATGTGCATTATAATCGGTTTTTTCTTGCTCTCTGCACAATGGAAAATGATGCAGTGCCTTTTTGCTCGGCACTTTTCTTCGGGAAATTTATCGCATATGTCGCAAGTCTCACATGATATGCCAGATTCTCGACTGTCTCTCTGGTGCCATTGTAATTTTTAATGGTCTGCCGGCGTTGCTTCCTGCAGGTCATGCCGCCAGCCCGGGCGGAGCAGCATTTGGTCTGTTGGTTTGTAATAGAATTTTTGCATTGCATTCGGCCTGAGCTGAGCTGCCTGCAGCGATAAATGTGATAAATGAAGCTTTAGTTGGTCTTGTTTTTGGTCTGCATAGAAATGCATTATGCAGATGGCCGCACCGAAGGATTTATAACCCTGATGTTTGTCTTGGTAATAGCCCAAGTCGACACATAGGATAAAAATATTAGCCAGCATTATTGCGAGAGCGTTCAGTTTCATGTTGTCGGAGGCACTTGCAATGTTCACTTCGAGGCGTAGCCAAAGTTTTGAGTCCAAAAAAGATAGAAGTCCGTGCCATCAGTGAGTCGGGATTCAAATGGCGTTGGGCTTTGAAGTCTAAGGGACAATTGTTTTTGGTATATAGAGAAATATAATTTTTTGAAGAATTTTTAAATATGTACTTTAGCTCAAAAGAACTGTTGCCCTTCAATGCATAATTTTATGTGCCTCCTATGCTGACTGCCTTTTTAATCGCCGCAGGGGCCAAATGCAAACTATTATAGTTTATGACAAATAAATATATTTTTATTGCATTTCCTGCAATTTATTGCAATGCAGTTTCGCACTTTGCAGTTGTCAATGCGTTCTGCTTATCGATAGCCGCAACATTTTGATAAGCGCAAGGGCAGCTGTTTTATTTGTAGTACTGGGACCGTATTTATTTTAAGAGCATCGATGGTTATTTCACATTGTATATGATAATCGTTATATTTTGTATTTATTTGCATATATGAAAATAGCGACCAAACTGACGACAGGCGACCGAGAGTATCCGAGTTTCCGAGTATCCTCATATATAGGAAATATAATGCAATGCGCGTGTACAGAATTTTAAATCGTAATATAAACACAGACAGTGGAGACTCTGGGCAGAGGGGCAGGGGTCGGTTAGGGTAGGAGCACGGCACACTTAAAAGATTAACCATAAGCGCACGGCACACGAAGCAAGGTTCGGGGCTTCAGCGCACAGTTCTTCATATAAGTACATATACTCGTACCTATCTATAAGCAAACACACATACTCACATATATGTATGTTAAAATTGTTGTTGGTTTTGTTCTGTTGTTTGGGCTTTATTTTTGTTAAATATTAAACATTGCTTGAGCTGCTGAAAACAATAACAATAAAGCCGCTCACCTCTTTATAATTGAAAACGGTTTGTCTCGCCTCCTATTTATGTATATCTCTCTTTTTTTTGGGAGGGGGTTTTTGTTCCTTAAACCGATTTTAATTTTAACGTTGATAAGTTGCCGTGCGGTACTTATTTTTGCCCTATTAGCGAGTGGAGTACATCGAATATGAAGTGCAAAATGTGCAAAAGTTCGCAAAAGTTCAGTTAATATAAAATCGAAGTAGCTAAAAGATCGTTTGATTATCTGATGCGTATTATGAATGAAGGAATGTATTTAATGTCGCTAGAATAGTTTTTTAATCCTTAGAAATAATTATAAATAATATGATGTAAAGATAAAGATAGGATTTGCGATTTTGCGTTTTGTTTAATATTTCTAAACTAGTCTGTGATGTTTTAAAATGAAATTATAAACATTTTTTACTGAAGATACAGAGGATCTGCATAATTATGATAATTATATATTTAGTGGGCTATAAATTGAAAATATTAAAATCAGAGAATATTTAAGATTTTTGCCTGAACGATAATAATATGGGAATAAATTCGATATTCTCCTTAACGTTATGATGATTTAATTGTATTTCGAGAATAGTCGCTTATTTTGAATGTAAATAAAAATAATATATTTTCGCTTGGAAAGCGTATTCAATCTTCGTGCTGTCTCAGCTATATTTTCTTTTAGTTGGTTTCTTGTCTTTTATTTACATACGCGACTGCACACCGACAATTTGTTTGCCTTTGTTTTCTGTCAATATCGCAGGAGCAGTGCGCACTTGTCGTCATCATCATCATCTCCATCTTCAGCTACGGTCTGGGTCTGTGCCTTGGGTAAACAGAAAATCCCACGCACGTCGGTTTATGTAACAGATAGATAGAGAGTGAGAGCAAGAGTGAGAGAGAGAGAGAGAGAGAGAGAGAGGGCAACAGGGAGAAAAGTATAGCGAGAATTGCAGCGACTCTTGAGGGTCTGAGGCAATGCAAGTTTTACCGCCAAAATCCACTTGACTTTTTGTCAGATACTTGAACAAGTCAAACTGTCGGTCTCTGAGCTGTGTTCCAGCTCTGCTTCTTGCCGCCTTACGGGTTTCTAATTATAAACTGCTCTGTCAGCAGTCAGTGGAGCGACCCGTAAACCCTTTGCAAGTTCCAAGTTCATGAACTTGTGCATTGAACTTCGGCCAGTCAGCCAAGCCGAAAACCAACTTGAAAACGGCTTCAGCATCGAGTTTAGACACGAATTTTCTTTTTTCAGCTCCTGTTGTTGTTGTTGCTCTTATTGTTGTTGTGGAAGTGTTTGTTTTCATTAGGTTGCAGTAGCCATCTGTTCTTACTTGCAACTGCCGCAGACTTTTAATTTGTGTGGATTTCCAGTTCCGTTCTACACAACGATGCACGGCCCCTTGGCCGAGGTCGAGGTCGATGGTTGCAGTTGAGGTCGTTGCTTGAGGTTGAGGTTCCGCTGTCGTGCCATGTAATGTAAAGTGGAAGTTGTAATTTAGTTAGCTCCAAATGACTTTTCGGCACAACATTATCATTATGTGCATTTAATTGTTGTTTGTCTTCCACTTCAATTCCAACTCTTCCATGCCTCTCCCTGTTCTTTTCAGAACCCATCCACTAATTTGTGTGAACTGCCTCTGATTGCAGAAGATTCTTTACTTTTAGTACTGCTCATCGGAAGTGTGGCGTTGGTCTTGTTAATATTTTTTAAAATAATATAACTGGGCAAAGTACAACTCCTTTCAATGAATAAAGATATTAATTATAGTATTAATAAGTAATTAAATCTGTGATAATTTTTATCGATTCCATAAGCTAACCCAAGAATCATTCCAGCTGTTATAGAGCTTTAAGAGACAGTCATATGTAGACTGTGAACTGGCTCTTTGTTCCATTTTAATTTGATATGAGTCGAAATAGTTGTCCAGCATATCTACTGGCTGCACTTACATATTATTAAATGTGAATAGTTTTGTCTGTGCCACATCGTATACTCATTTACAAGGCTCGTCGTGGCACAGGACATGGCCACAGAGACCGACAACTGTCCACAACCACAAAACACATCAACGGCAGCGGGCAGCAAACAGAAAAACGTTGAAATTAATGAGAAAATTCTCAGCTTGATATAAAAAACCACAAGATAACACAACGGGACAGGAGCTAGTCCGACTGTAGTCGTACTGGCATTCAGGATATGCGCCCGGATATGCAAGTCCAGCTACAAATGCAAAGCGCCAACATCACGTAGTCGAGAGGGAAAAACTTCAGAGCAGATAAAAATTGCAATGCATTTAACAGCATTAAGAGCCCAACAACAAAGTGCTAAATAAAATTTGCAAAAAAAGACAGAATAGCAAAAAACAAATAAGAAAATTAAAAGGAAAAACTTGCAAATGATATTAACAGCGAAAAGGACATTTAATGAAAACACAACTGGCTGCAGATCTGGTCGGGATTCTAGAGTAGGTTGTGGCTGGCGGATT